CACTTCCTCTCTGCTTCTTTAGTGAGGGTCCTAGCTCTCAGATTCTGTCACTAAGGCATCAGTGACACCCTTCCCCCAAGTGTTGCTGGCTTCTCAGTCTGGAGAAGCACTGAGTCTCACTGAGACTGATTCACACATGTTCTTCACTGAGCTTGAGCGGTGAAGGAATGGCCTGGGAACAGGTGACCGCCTGCCTCTGCAGCTTCCTACAAAGCACGAGTATGTTCCGCATATTCACCAGTACAGTCGTGAGCACATCCTCTACAAGTTAACCATCCAGGTGTTTTCTGAAGACAGTCTCCACCCCCAGCCCCATTAAAGGAAAACAGCACCAAACAACAAACTTGAAATCCTTCATAATACTGAACACACCAGCCTAGTCCACTTGTATGACACTGCTTTTTTTTTTCAACTTCAAAAGTTCACTGAATTAAAAGACTAAAAATAGCAGCAACTTTCACTACATGGTCTTCAGATATTTCCCCAACTGACAACGAAGCGAAAATGGCTCGCCTGCCTTTCTTACAAACAATAACTAATATAATAAAGCAAGACATTTTCAGAAGCCAAAATAACAGTCTGAATATCTAGGTCCAAATGAGCCTCTGGACAGATTAGTGTTTTGAAAGCTACCTGGCCCTTGGTTGACGGAAAGATTCAATCCCTCCCATCAGCAGCATGGAAACACAGTACTTATAAAAACCATAGACTTGTTGACTTGGCTCCATTTGGTTTCATAATTTGTGATCCTCTGCTTATTCATCTCAGCACATTAGCCTAAATTTAAAAATCCAAATGGGAGACATAAAGACAGCACTGTTCTCAGGCTGCCATTCCTTATACAGCTCTTACCGAGTGATGACTAGTCACATACAATGAAGGCATTGCCAATGTGTTTGAAGAAATAAGCATTCTGTTGAAACACAAATTAATTTGCACGTCTGAAAATAATTTTCAACATCAGCATGTTACTCACTGTCCTCGGGATGGGTGGAGAAAGAGATCCATTTGACATGTACGGGTCACTATTCATATTTGGCATCATTATGTAGCCAGAATAGCTGGAGTAGGAGGGGCCCTTGTTGTACAGGCCTCCATCTGGGTGCTTTCCTGGGAGAATCCAAAAAACAATCAAAGATGCATCGACTTTCTGTTTGTATCAAACTATTTTCACCAGAAACACCTCTTGCTTCTAAGACAAGCTGGAGTTTACATAAAATATTAAAAAAATATATAACTGGGTTATTATGTTCTACTTTAGACTGACAGTATTTATGCTCTTCAATGGCTTAACAGCAAACCAGATGTTTAAAAAAAAACATGTGGTTCAATTTACTTCCACTACTGACTGATGTTTTTACAAAAATAAGTGTTATTCATCCAACTTAATTTGTTCTAATGCTAACAAACTGAACCGAGAAATACAGAAACACAAGGGAGCACACACAAACTTAAAATCGAACTGTTAATATGTGAGGCCATCTACCCCCCCAAAAACACATACACATTTCTACATTTGAAGTCTCCTTCTTTTAGACAAATTCAAAAGTTCCACCTGTACCTCTGGATTTTTACCAAATTCTGAAGGAGAAAAGTGGATCTAGTGTATGGTTAAATCCCAAATTTGTAGTGAATTAACCTTTGGAAGAGCTAATTTCATGGCTAAACTTACGTCACTCTGCCAAAGAAATGTTCCTTGACTTTTAATCTCTATACCTACTTGTTGCCAAGCAGGAAGGCTGATATACAGCTCTCTCCCTGCCCCTAGGTCGACACACTAAATGTACAAACATTCCATTCTAGACAGGCCAATTGTTAAGTAGTTGAAGGAGACCAGAAATGCCAACTGATTGACAACTGAACCCTATGGTGATCTGATTAAATTTAGAATGAACAAAGGAGGGGTGTGTGTGTGTGATTTTTTTTAACTTACTGACAAGAATCAGCAATGGGGGAAATGTCTATCATTTGATAGGAGTAGCTTCTAATATTTGTTTATAATTTAGAAGCTAGGCTCAGTTTTACTGAGCCCTGATCCATCTGTCCACACACTGCCTTCCTTTTCCTCTGTACTGAGAAACTACACACAAAAGTTTTGCAAATGAAGAATTCTAAATTATTATTGTTGAAAAATACTGCTCAGAAACATCCCTTCTTCTCTGAGAATCTGGAAGTCAATGGAAACCCAAAGACTCAGATTCATTCAGGGACTGGTTCTTAACCATGCGATACAGGCTGTGGGTTTCTGGGCTTTCTTTCCTATTATGTTGAAACAGTACTGACAGGGACACAGTCTTGCATTATCTGGTCCCAGCCTACTGAACTCACATGGAAGTATCACAACCGGATACTCAAATATCACATGTCCTCGGGTAAAGTGGGAAGAACGAGAAATCTGGCTTCTTACCGTCATCAGGGTGCTCTCTGGCCTTGTCGTGGTAGGACTCCTGAGAGGGCTGTGCTTGTCTGACCACCTAAAGGCAGGGGTAGCCACCCCAAAAGAAAGAGAGCATCTTAGAGCTGTTAACAGTTAAGATGTGTCTGCTGGTAATTCAAAGAAAGACATCTCGGTAAAACTCAATCTGGCCGTTTGGTTAAAATTAAGGACAGGATAGGCTTGATTGAGTACAGGAAAACTTCTTTTCAAAGAGCATTTCTGAGTGATTTCTAAGTACTCCGGATCAAAGGATAAAAATGGTAGCAAAAGAAAAAAAGCAAATTTGGGGATGACCTGTCCTGCTCTAACGACCCAACTTCTAGGGAGTATTAGCCTCTTTGGCCTTGGTTCGCACTTTGACAGGGTTTGATTAAATGCCACCAGGATATCGTAACTGAAAATGAGATCTAGAGACGTAAACAAAACAACCCACTTCGCTGAGGTCTTAGGGGAAATGCCTATGAGCAGCCCTGGCCGGAACTGCGTTCACTTACAACTTAAAGTCTGAATTCTATGAGGCTATCAGAGTAGAACTGGTCTGTGGTTAAAGGGAGGGAAAATTGAGAGTCGGGTTACAGACATCTAAAAGGCAGCCCAGTTAATATCGGTTTTGGTGTGCGCCACCGACCGGACTCAACCACGTGCAAATCAGTGGTATAACCCTCACCGTCTTCCGTGGGGCTGATAGCTCCACTTCCACCGGGAAGGTGGACAGTTCAAACTCCCCACCACTGCTTTTCTCCTCGGACTAGTAAATCGTGGAGGCGAGGTGGCTGGGAATCTGTGGACTACTCTGTTAGAGGCCGCCCTACCTACCGTCTGGCACAAAGCCCCCGAGTTTAGGTAGTATTTGATTCTTTGAACCTGTGTCCTCCAGGCGACCTCATCCTTCAGGCACACAGAGACTTTTTTTAACCTCATTTTGACCGCACCCTAGCCAACCTCCCCTACTTTTTGCTAGATTTTGGGAACAGAGAGATCCCTTGTATTCTAGGAACCAGGCCCCCCAGGCTTCTCAAATGCGTACTCACCCCTGCCATCGGGACAGAGAAGGTAGGTAACTCTTGGGTGTTCTTAAAGGTACTCTTTAAACCCAAAATGTCCCCGCCCCCGAAACCACCCTTCCTTTGGGGTGGGGGCAGAAGGCTGCCATTTAAGGAAAAAGTTATACTCTCCAAGTTTCTCTGGGAGGAAAAAACGTTGGGGCCATCATTTGGCTATCAGAACTTTTCTACGGTTGTCCCGGTGAGGTTTCCTCAGCTGCTCAGCCGGAGCGGCCGCTGAGGTGTGGGCTTTGGGGATCTACGCCCATCCGATGCTCGCGCGCGGCGCGGCTCTCTGCTCTCTCGAGCCGGCACCCACGTGGCTCTATTTACTCTACTCGGGTTACCAGCGCCGTCGCCTGCAGCTGGCCCCGAGATCTGATAAAGCGTGTCCCTCCTCCCCAGCCGCGGCCCGGCTTCCGCTGCTGCCGCCCGGCTCTCGGGCTCGCCTTTCTTCTGCAGAGATCCAAGGCCTGCCTAACCCCAAATAAACGCCTTTCTTTCCACTTTAAGTGCCGGGGTTGAGGGCGGAAGGACGGCGGTGGTTATGCTGTTGGGTGGCTCGGGTCGGCTCGCCCACGGCTCCCCGCAGCAGCCTCGCCGGCTGTGGGGACCCGGCCCCGCAACGCCCCCACAGTTGGGGCGCGCGCCCCACTCCTTGGCGGTTGGGACGGCCCCTCCTGGCGGGTCCACGCCCGCCTCTTCTTCCTCCCGCCTGAGGCTCGGCTCCTTGGAGCCTTGGTGGTTTAACGCACTTTTGCACACTGTACCAAGAGAGCTAGCGGATGCACTTTGTGTTCTACCCCAGGATGGACTGCGCAGCTGTGTTTAGACATCCCTGCTTTTAATGCATGGCTCCCCTCAGCCCCGCAGAAACGTCGGAGGACGAAACAGGGTCGGGTAAAGGCCAACGTTTCCTGCCCATCCACCACCGTTTAGCCACAGACACACTTGGAATAAATTTCCCTGCCCGCCGCTCACACACGTGTGCACCGTGGACCAGGGGCCGTTATTCCCCGCCCAGCCCGCGAGGGACCAGGGCGCAGCGGCCCAAGTGGCCGCGCGCGCTCGGCTTGCTTCCTCCCTGCGTCCCCTGGACCCGTCACGCCTCTCGGGACAGCGGCCCACTCACCTCGTGCCCGTTGCTGGCTGGGATGATTTCGGACTCGTTAACCAAGGATGACTTGATGTCGGCTAAGTCGCCCTCCTCTTCGGGGTGACTGATCTCGGCAAAGATCTTCTCCTTCTGGGGATCGCCCTCATCCTTGAAGGGGATCATCTCATCGGTGGCGCAGAGTTCCGGGTCACCCCCACCGCCTCCTCCAGAGAGTTGGGGCATCCCGGCGGCTCTGTAATCTCCGCTCCGCTGCGGGAGCACTCAGCGACGGCAGGAAGAGGGGGGTCGATGTGTGTGGGGGCAAGAGTTGGAGGATTACGAATGGAAGCGGGGTGGGAAAGCGAGGGCCCGCTGCCGGAGCAGCAGCAGGAGCCGCTGCGATTGCAAGGCTCTCCCACTTCACTTAGAAGGACGCGGGCGCCCGGCCCCGGGGCGAAGGGCACCAGACTGCGAGGGCGGCAGTCGCCGGCGCCTCTGAGAGCGTCTGCGGAGATCCGCGTGCGCTAGGGTAGGCTGCCAAGGCCCGGTGGCCACCACGCCTTGCTGGGGTCTGTGCGCCGAGAACACTGGTTCCGGAGGGGACACGACTTTCCAAAGTGCAGAGCAGGGTCCCGTGGCGCGTCGCCGTGCAAAACTTCTCCACCGTGGACTCCTCGGAAGCCGATTTCGGATTGGTTTTTTTCGAGAAGCTGAGAGCTGGGCCAAAAGGCTCCGTTTGCCCCAGCAGAGGTGCGAGGAGAATCAGAAAATACCGAAAAGTCCACTTCCTGAAGGGTAAACAATAAAGAGCCACCCGGGCAGCAGACGTCCGTGTTCGAGCTTCTTTCCTTCCCTTTCGCTTCGGTTTTCCTTCTGGAGGAGCATTTAATCTGCTGGGGGGGAAGGGGGACGGAGGAGGAGGGGAGAAAAAGAGAAGTTTGCCAAGAATAAAGTTTGTGCTGATGAGCGCTGGGAATCGACAGTGGCTGGCACGGTGGAGTCTTGGGGAGTCACAGCAGGAGCCTCGGGCCCAAATGTTCCAGCCCGCAGCTCGGGCCGATACACACACACACACACACACACACACACACACACACACACACACACACACACACACACACGAACCCGATCCCTCTTTGTTCCCGGCTCGAGTTTCTGCCTGGCTCGCTGGCGCTGTTACTCGCCTCTTTCCCCGCCTCCCCTGTGTCAAAGCAAAGGGCTGCCGGTGGCCCCTCGGCTCCTCCAGGCCGCCGGGCGGGGAATACCCGGAGCGGGGCCGCTTGCAAGGCTCCGGGTGAGTCCAGATGCCCGGGCCCACGGGAGCGCAGCCGGGTCCCTCCGGAGCGCGCTGCCCAGCAGGTGAGCGGTTGCGCCTTCCCACCGCTTCTCCTCGCCGCGCCTAGCCGGCGCTGCAAAGCTATTCACATGCGTCGCTTCTCCTCCCCCGCCCCTCCCCCGCCTCCTGCTCTCCTTGGCTGCTGGCTGGAGGGGTGGGGAGGAGGGAGTCTGCTAGGAGGAGGAGGACGAGGAGGAGGGAGAGGAGGAGGAGGAGGAGGAGATCCAGGTTGTCCCCCAGCACTAGTACATTTCCCAGCACCTAGAGGACGAGTCATAATTTGGGGGGCGCCTTGGGGGTGCGTGCGTGTGTGCGCGCGCGCGTGCGTTTATGCCTAGAGGGGGAAAAACAACAGCAACAACGACAAAAAAACCGCAACCCGGAGAAGGACCGGGTGCTGCTTGTAACCCCCCCCCCAAGCACGCTGTTGCCGAGGTGAAACTGACAAGAAACTCTACCTGAGTGGCTTAACTTCATCGTCTAAGCATCTCTTCTCTTGCCCCCCTCACTCCTGCCCTTGGCCAGCCTCTCTCCACCTCCTTCCCGCCGCCCACTCTCGCCCCTCACTCAGGCAAGGCGAGGAAGATGAAAGAGAAAGCCGCCGGCGCTGTAAGATGCTCTGACAGAGGGAGTGAGGCGAGAATTAGGGACTGGGAGAGGAAAGGGAGAAAATGTAACTCATTGCTCACCTAAGCAGAGAGAAGAGAAGCAACAAACACAAGAGTTGTGGCTGGGTAGTGTGTGTATAATATCACACGCTCTTCGGAGACAAGGGAAAATACAGTCTCCAGGCTTACCAGGGCGAAAGGACCAGGAAGAAGGGAGCGAATGAAGACTGGACCTCAATTATCGCTTTCATTGTGTCCTTACCACCGGATGGACGTGGATGGACGTGGGTTTTCGTCTATGCAAGAGTCAGTGTGTAAGAGACCTCGCAGAAAATGAAAATACATCTCAAAACGAGGGAAAAGTAGGACCTCGGAAAGGGAGGCATGACTGCGCAATTGCTGACATCCTGGACAACAACGCTGAAAGGGACCCTTGAGGATGTAAATCCGAATCCAACCTCAAAAAATTCCCCAGTTCCCACTGTCTCTTTGATGCATTTTGTAAAAGGATAGGACTTTTAAGGGAGACGCTTTCTGAAAGTTACTGTGTAAGTGAGGCTTAAGTTTGGAAACGTTACATTTTGTCCTTAAGTTCTCAACCCCTCCCCTCAGTCAAATATTCGAGCAAAATTATTACACCAATGCGGTAGCCATCTGCAAAACCTGGGAACAGTAAACAGGAGACGGGAAGAACTGCATCTCCATCTTCCTTAACGTGAAAATAAAACACAGAATTATGTGTTAGTGCCGTTACATAAGATCGCTCAGGCAAAGATCTCTCTTTTAAAGGTGAAATTGTGGGCTATTGCACATTGTAGACTTTAACAGTTAAGTAAGCATTTCAAGCTTTGCTTGCTGATAACTACTAGTCTGGGAGCTTGCTAGGAAGTAGTCTTCAAAGCTATATATCAGTTCAGTTGGTCCCATGGGTAATATGTAATTAATAGGTAATATGTTCCAGTCCATCATATGTAAACTGATAGATTTGGGAACAATTAAGAGGCTTGTGATAGAAGTCAGAAAAACGAAAACTTAAAAAAAATCTACAAAGCTATGCCTTACAGAAGAAAACCAAAAATGGCATTTTACTTCAGGGTGTTAGGGAGAATAGTAATGAGGGTTGCGAATGAATCCATTTTTATAGTGATGGTATGCAACGTCCATTGCTGTTGGTCTGGTAGAGGAGCGGGGGAGGGGGGGACACAGTTTTGGACATTACAGCTCCTGCTAGCGTAAATTTAACCAAGTCAGAATTTCTCCTCCGAGTGCGCCAATTTGACTGAGCAAAAGAACCCCGGAAGATGCAGTTTCATCAAAGCAGCCGAAGTAGATCGGCCCTTTTCATCAAACCCAGAGGGGGAGGGGGCAAGAAGAATGGCCAGAGGGTATTTTTTGAAAGCCTGGGGGAGATTAAATGACGAGTCTACATCTTCCCTGTTTAAGTGTTGCAACTAATTCGAATTCCCATTTTGTCCTTCGCGTTAATTATCTGGACTCTGTGAGTCATACCGAGCTCAGCTCCAGGTGTCCTGGAGATTAGGAGCTCAAGAAGATGGGAAATTTTGGCGCAATACCTAGTGAGAACGGCTTACAAAAAAAAAAACAAAAACAAAAACAAAACTGGGATAGGTGGCTGCGTTTGGTACCTTGCGGTAACCCTCCTTGGAAACATTGGTTGTAACGAAATCACCCAATGGCCTCGCTCTGTATGCATGGCGGTTGAGTGGTCTCCCCGGTGTGCTGTCTTTAGCAATGTTACAAATCTTAACTGAGGCCATTCTTAAAACCATGCGTCCGCATGTTTCAAAGCGTTGTCGGTAAAGGAAGGCGACTTTCCCCTAGATGAAGTCTTAAGAGAGAAAAGCAAGGAGATAAAGGAGGGGCGAAGTAACCCCAGGAAGTGGTGTCTCTGGGCTTCGCCTTCCTGGCAAAGGCATTCCAGCCGCCTAGCAGTCTATCCTGATTCCTGTGGGGCTGTTATTAGCATAGGCAGCCGCTTCTTCGCTTCTTGGGGTAGGGCGAGTAGGATCCTAGGTCTGGGATGTGGTGGGAGCGGCGCAGAAGCAGCCCCGCCGCCCCCTTTCCTCGGATGTTCAGGCAGGTTGTTCGTGTGAACTCTAGCGAACCACTGGAGGTTGGCTGTAGTAGGTTTACTCCTTCAGGATGTGGGTTTCAGGGGGCGTTTTGATGTGATTTAATTCCGACCGTGAAACAATTGCTAGGGGCTGGCTGCATTGCTGTTGGTTTTAACCCTCCTGGTGGCTTTGGGCTTAGCTTTGGGAGCGAACTTGTTTTATATCAACACTTCCTTCTGCATAAGGTGCTGTCGCCGGTGCTGCGCCTCTGAGTGGGGGTGGGGGCATGGGGGGTGTAGAGGGGGCGAGGCACCCAACCCCAGTCGGAACCTAGGCTTCGGGGAGCAGAGTTGGCCAAACTGCCCCGAGGTGAGCGTAGTCGAGCGCGCCGCGGCGGGGGCGGGGAAGAGAGGAGGACAACCCGCACCAGAAGACCCCCCCCCCTAGCGTTTTGTAGCCAAGTGGAGTCCTCTGCAGACCGCCCAGAGTCCTTAATTACAGGGATGAGAAGCTCAGTGCCCCCGCACGGCCCTCTCCGCCCCCTAGGTCCTAACCCTAGCTCAGGCTCCGGGTCTTCCCTTTGTGTGGCCTAGACTCTCTGCCAGCTGCAACCTAGGTGGGATCCCAAAGGAAGGAGGTGGCGGGGCCTACGGAAGAGGATGCTCTGAGAGACAGCCGAGAAGGGACTAGAAAAAACGAATTCATGTGATTCCGGGGGCGGAACCGAGACCCCGGTTTCCCACCCCAGCTTCGGCAGGAGTCTCTATCTGTGGGCACCTTCAGTTTAACCGACGTCGCGGAGAAGGGGGACGAGGGAAGTGGCAGTTTGTGTCCCAGGGGCTCTTCCGCCTTAGACAAACAAACCCAAGGCCCCTTCCTCCAGGGCCAGGGAACTCGTGGGACCGTGACAACCCCCTGCTCCAGACGCCCGGTTTCCACGCGGCCGGCGCCCGCCCGTTGGCGGCTGCAGCTCGGCGCGACCTCCCGCGCGGGCGGGCGGGCAACTGGAGCGCGAGATCGGCGGAGCGGTCAGCCCTGGCCCCGGCCTCGGGGTGAGGGAGCCCCATTCACTCTGCTTCGTGAGTCGTCAACCCCAGGCTGGAGTGCCAGCCCCAAGGCGGGGACGGCGCGGAAGGGTGACTGGGGACAGACGGTGGAGGGAACGGGGGTGGGGTAGGGGGGTGCAAGGCGACAGAATGAGTCCAAGGGGGTGCAGAGGTTCAGCTCTGCACCAGAAGTCGAGACTCCCCCACCCGGGGAGCCCGCGTCACATGGGGACAGGAGGGGTGCCGCACATGGACTTCGGCTCTGGAATACACGTGCCAGCCGGGGAACCGCTAGTCTGGGGGCTCGAACATCACATTCTTTTCTTCCATGTCTCAAAACTTTTTTCTCGCGCGCCTTAATGTGGCGTGGGCGCCGGCTTTCTGGGAAGGAAAGCACGCCCCTTCGGTCCCACTCCCGGTCCCTCTGCCCCGCCATCAGCCCTGGAGCCGGGACGCGCGCCGAAGGGCCGGCCGCGCGCGCGGGGCTCGCCTTATATCGGCGGAGGGCGGCGCCTGCGCAGGGCCCGGCGCGGCGGCGCGGCCTTTGAAGTCGCGGCGGCTGAGGCTTTCATCCTTTCTTTTTTCCCTCTCAGGCCCCTTTGTGTGACTAAATTTGGCAAGAATATGGATCCCGGCCAGTCTTTCCACGTGTGCTCCCAGCTCCCAGCTGAGAAGGCCAAGGGTTCTCTTCCGGGTAAGGAGACAGGGAGAAAGATCAAAGAGTTTGGGGAGCTGGATCTGAAATGTGAATTGAAAATAAAAATCAAGCCTGGACACATTCCAGTTTCTAAAGCAAAACCAACCCTCTGCAGAGGCCATCTCGCTACGGCGCTCTTTCTCTCTGCTCCCTTTTGCTCCTTTTTTTTTTCTTTCCCTCCTCGAAATCACTCGAGCACATGGGATAAAATAAAGACAACATAGGGAAGCACTTAGATTCTCCAGATTTTGTTTTGCAGTAATTTTATTAGGGAAAATATCTTGTTCATAATTACCGTTATGTGAGGCCAAATTTCTTCAGCCATAAATATTGTCTTCTTCCAGCATGCTTCACACTTTCTTCTGTGGCCACGTTTTTTGAGAGGGAGCGCTGACACAACACGTGTGTACGTACTGTTTGTGCATCCTGCTTTTTAACCCCTCTGCACATGGTTACGGGGCACTGCCTGTTTCCCCCACAGAAACTGGATTCTGGAAAACTGATGTTAACAGCATTTTTAATCGCTTTCCCAGTTGGTCTCCATGGTTTGAAGTCGTCTCCTTGGTGGGTCTACCCATGTGTTTTAAACACGAGACTCCACAGAAACGTTTGTGTCTGTGGTGAAAAGTCTGTAAGCTGTCGTCTCTGACACACTGCTCGAATGAGGTCTGTGCAGAGGTATTTTCCCAATAGTGTCCCCAGGTCCAAGACAGGCTCAGGACCTGCCTCCCCAGCAAGGGGTGAAGGTAGTTAGGGGCATCTGACCTCTCCAACGCCTCGTTTTCTCTGCAAATAGCTGTGTACCGGTCTACCTTCCAGAGAGATAATGCATGTGAAAAATGTGCAAAAATAAAAATAAGATATTAGACCAGGATTCGAGATGCTTCTTTAAGAGGGGAAAAATCTGTTAATTGCAAAACCAAAATGAATTAAGTCCTGGGAGCTTTTACCACAGAGGAGGTAAACGTGACTGTGGGAATGAGGAATCCGTGGGTAAAGTACTTAGAAGAACAGCAGAAAGAACTCTGACACAATGGCGGGAGGAGTTACTGAAAGGTATGCAAGAGATGTTTTGAGAAACAGTGTGAGTCTCCCCAGAATGCGTGTTTTAGACTATCATGTCACAGGCCGCAGTGTCCCAAGTTCACAGTGCAGACTTTGATTGAGATGATAGAAGCAAGTGTGGTACTTAGGACGGTTAGCTCTTGTGGGATACTAACTAACCGGAAGTCACCCCACCAAATGGAGTCATTTTCCTGGTGGCGTCTCAGCATCAACTCTTCAAAGTAGCCCGGTACAGATTGGTAACAGTGTAGTCAGGATGGGAATGACCAGTGTTGCTCTGTCCTTTACCCAGGCGGGGGACTTCCAGGGCAAAGGAAACAGAGTCCTGAGATACTCAGCTTTCTGCTACTTTCTACTAACAGTAACACCCAGCTTCCCCATGTGAAGGGACACCACAGCAGTTTGGGTTGATGGACACTTAGGAGGTACCTTCTGTTTGTGTAGCCCACCTTTCCACAAAAGTCACAGGTTAGAAGTGGGGCCAATCCAGGTAACTGATCAACAGCACCCTTCCCTTCCCTTCCCTTCCCTTGCCTTCCCTTCCCTTCCCTTCCCTTCCCTTGCCTTCCCTTCCCTTCCCTCCCCCCTTTTTTGTTTTTGTTTTGTTTTGTTTTTTGAGATAGGCTTCTCTCTGCAGCCTTTGCTGTCCTAGGACCAGGCTGGAATTGAACTCACAGAGATCTGCAGATCTGCCTGTGAATGCTGGGACTAAAGGTGTGTGCCACCACTGACTGCTTGGCTCCTCTCATATCTCCTTACAAATACAAACTTTTTATAATTTACTTTTTATTTTGTGCACATTAATGTTAAATCTGCACATGTATGTTGGTGTGACGGTATTAGATCCCCTGGAACTGGAGTTACAGACAGAAGTGAGCCACCATGTGGGTGCTGGGAATTGAACCCAGGTCCTCTGGAAGAGCAGTCAGTGCTCCTAATTGCTGAGCCATCTTTCCAGCCCCCATTTTCTGTTTTTTTTTTTTTTGTTGTTGTTGTTGTTTTGTTTTGTTCATTTGCTTGTTTTTCAAGACAGGGTTTTTTTTTTTTTTTTTAATGTAGCCTTGACTGCCCTGGAACTTGCTTTGTAGACCAGGCTGGCATCCAACTCACAGAGATTCCCCTGCCTTTTATTCTGGGATTAAAGATATGGGCCACTACTGCCTGGCCTCAGACACAAACTTTTTAAAAATTTAGTCTTGGCCAGAGGAGGAAAATCAGCAAAGCACTGAGTGCTCTTGCTCTGTCTTATCTGAGTGGGCAGTGAGGAGGTCTTGGAAATACTAAAAACAACAGCAGCATCAAAACTGGATCACCCTCTAAGAAAAGAAACTCTGAAGAAGACAGCATAGCTAAGGGATTTACTTCCTTTTGTGAACCTGTTTCCTCAGCGGACCTGGTGATGGGGGCGGGTGGGGGGCTCTTGGATGTTGGTAAATGTGCCTCCTAAGACTGGCAGCCTTGGTTTGTATTCTGGGGTTTCCAGGGCTCTGTCAGCATTGGACAAGGCCCTAATCCCTGGTTTGAAGCCAGAAGCCAAAGCCACAGCCTTCCTGCCTAAGGGCAGCAGTGGCACCAACTGAACCGTAGGGAGATTAGCGCAGAACAAGGTCATTAGTCTCATTGTCCACCCAGTTCCTCCTAGCACACTCCGATAGGAATTTCACCTGCAGGGACCGCAGCCTGCCTTTGATGTGTGGGATCTACCCAGTGCAGTGTTCTGGGAAAGTGCCTGAATGGCAGGCTCTCCATCCAATGCCTGGAAAACACATCTCCACAGGCACGGCCCTGTATTGAACAGGTTTTCAGTGTGGATCTCTTCAAAGTCAATAAACTAACCTGGATACCCCGGATGGAGCCTCCTGTTTTCAATGGTGTGACTTTTGTTGGGGGGGGAGGAGAGGGGGTCCTTATACTTAATTTGTACTTGTTTTCATTAGAAACTGGGTAACTGTTCCAAATTTTCATTTATTTCTCAAAGGAGTGAGTCAGCCTGCCCTACATTTGATCTGGAGAAGACTTTCATTTTCAAAGTATTTCTTTCCATAAAAACAGATGAAATTATCTCTATTAATGTGTATATGGGGGTGGGTGGGTGTTTCTAGTTTTGTTTTGTGTGTGTGTGTGTGTGTGTGTGTATGTGTGTGTGTGTGTGTGTGTGTGTGCTTCTAGTTCTTAACTGTGTCTTGCTTGCCCAGCTACACTTAAACTCAGAATATTCAATTAGGGGAGAGAATTCCCAAGGCTGAATGAAAGCGCCAATACAAATAGTTTAGACTACAACATTGTCATCTGGCTCGAGTAAACACTTATTTGGCAGAATAAGTCTAATTGCCTTATCTGAATTTGACTTAAAAGGTCCTGTAGTCCCACTCTGCCAATTCCAGATCTCAAGCCCGGTTGGTTCCCTTAGGTTGAATTGGCAGAAAACGGAGCGGGGAGATTAATTACTCTCCGATCAAGTTGGGCAGTGCATTTTGACTGCCAGTTCTGATAACTCTCGGTCTCCTAAATGTATTTTAGGGCTTGACTCAAACAGATATGTGGTCTTTGTTCCTCAGTTTTTTGGGGTAGCTGTTAGATTGCCTTACGTTGTATTACAGGAGCCAGTAGTTGATCTTGAAGAGACTTCTGCTCCCGTGGCAAAGTCAACCTTTCTCACCTGTAGTCGAGACTCCACAAGTCTTCAGCTTTCTCTCTGGTGGCTTCCATGACTGTCCCTCCACGCTTCACAATAAAGTCCTTTGTTCATGTCCCCCATGCAAGACTTCCCAAGTGTTATGTTAACTAGTTGGTTACTGCCTCTTAATACCATTCTCTGGAACCCTTGGTTCTCCAGTGTGCCGAGGTATGAGCACACGTCTGACTCCTTGGCTCCAGCAGCCTCTGTACAGAACTCGCAGCTGGGTAGATACTTCCAGACCTTACTCCCCAGCTTCACCCAGATTGCAATTCTGGTTATTTTACATTCTTTGATGGGCTTTATCCCTCTGTCCCCACCCCCCAGTCAGCCTGGCATCTTTCTCGCATCCCTTGGAACACGACGTGTCTCATGAGGTGGACACTTTGTTTTGCCTTCTCTTCAACAGCACAGAAAATAAACTAGAAAGGCAATATAAATTACCCAACATGCACTTGGCAGTAACTTGATCCTTACCACGAATGGAAATATAATGAAAGATTCATATATAATTTTAAACTAAAACTCTAGAAAGCAGCACATTAAATTAAACAATACAATTTAGCTACTCCTCTGTTTCCAAGAGAGATTGGTTCTGTAGCCCCCAAGGACCTTTAACTATAAGGATGTTCACATAAAATACTGCTTGCTGTGTTTACATATAACCTACACACCCTCCAATATCACTTTACTTTAAAAAATCTATTAGCAGATGTTCATTGTCCAAAGTGATGGGCTTCATCATGGCACATTCACTGAAGAACATCACGGACTATAAATATACGCACCCTCATTACCCTTTCCTGTACTCCCTTCTCCTGCTACTCCCCCTCCTCTTCCCAAATAATCTACTTCTCTAGATTCAATAATTGAAACCATATGATATTTGTCTTCTGAAATCTGGCTTGCTTTATTTAATATGCATATACCTAGTTCTATCCATATTCTTGCAAATGGCATAACTGTTACTGATGGCAGAATAAACCCACATTGTTTTTGTGTTATCCAGCCATTGTTGGATACTTAGACTGATCTATCTATAACTTGTCTATTGGGAGCGGTGCCAGAAGACATGGACGCAGAGGTGTCCCTGTAGTATACTGTTGTATATTCCTTTGAATGTATGCCCAGGAGGGTCCACCATACTGATTTCAATGCCCACCAGCAGTATTTAAGGGTTTATCCAGCCCCCTCCCCCATCCCCTCATCTTAGCCACCATTTGTTTCTGTGTTGTATTGGGTTTTTTTTTTCTAAAGATCCATTCTGACTGGAGTGACATAAAGTCTCAATGTATTTTGATTTACATTTTCCTGATGGCTAAAGATGTTGAACATTTTTTTCATGTTTATTTGCCATTAGTACCTTATCTTTTCAGAGAGGTCTGTTCTGTTCCTGTTTCCTGATTGAATGATTTAGGATCTGTTTGTTTCATTGTTTTCGTTCAAGTTCTCTGGATATTCTAGATATTAATTGTCTGTGAGATGTATATCTGGCACAGATTCCCTTCCTTCTGTAGACTGTCTTTTCTCTCTGGATTGTTCTTTGCTCTATGGAAGTGATCTGATTTAATGCAATCCCATTTCTCAAGTCTTGCTTTTAGTTCCCAAGATGCTGGTCTACTTTTCCAAAAGTTCTTTTTTTTTTCAATCCTTTTTTTCTTTAAGTTTTTACACGTCACTCTCAGTTCCCTGTTCTTCCCTTCCCTCCCTCTCCCGATTCCAAAAGTTCTTGACCATGCCTAAATCTTTTTTAGTTTCTCAAGACAGAGAGAGTCCCTCTGTGTAACCCCAGAGGATGTCTCGGAACTCAATTTGTAGACCAGGCTGGCCTTGAACTCACAGAGATCCACCTGCCTCTGCCTCCAAGAGCTGGGATTAAAGGCGTGCGCCACTACTGCCCAGTCCATGCCTAAATCTTGAAGTGTACTCTCTGTTTTTCCTCCAGCAGTTTCAGAATTTGGATTATGGGCTGTGATCTGTTTTGAGTTGGTTTTTGGCATGAGAAATATGGATATAGTTTGGTTTGTCTATGTGTGAATATCCCGTTTCCTAGCACCAGTTACTGGAGAGACTGTCCTTTCTCTTGGTGGCACCTTTGTAAAGAAAGTAGGGACTGCAGCTGCATGAGCCTT